AGGCAAATAGTATAAAAGGAAGAGTATTTTTACCATATTTTTGAACCTCTGGACCATTTGGTTAAGTGTTTTGGTCTAGGCCAGGGCTCTAACAATTTGTATTCTACTGAAAGAAGTTATTTCCCTTTCACTTATATAGTGAAAATGCTAATAATTTGAAAATCATCAACTTAGTGCATAGTTATGATGATGAGGGTACCTCTTCCAAATTTTTGAATTTCATGGCCTGGGTCCTGGGTTCTGGTATTAGGGTAGGGCTGTGTTGATTCTGTAGTGAAAATGCATTATGTTTGAAAATCATCTCTGCTCCTAGGCATATCGGAGGCAAACAGTTTAAAAGTTTTAATAGGCAAGGGGTTTTTTTTACCATATTTTTGAACCTCTGGACAATATAATCAAGTGTTCTGGTCCTGGCCAGGGCTCTATTAATTTGTATTCTACAGAGAGGAGTTATTTCCCTTTGCCATTCACTTTTGATAATTAATCACTGTAAATAATGTATTTGAACGGTTAATAGAATAAAGAATTGACCATATTACATGTCAGGTATGTTAAAGTTAAACGTAATTTAGTCCATTAAAGACAGCTTTTACGAAAACATTTGCTGGATTTTTCTAAAATTAAAGCATTATCTTGTTCCTTTTTTTCAATGACTTGGCGGATATACAATTTACAAGCCAGTAGATAGAGAAGTGGTGTTTTTGAATTTTTTTTCAAATAAAACTACATTTCACACTTTGGAAAAAAATGACAAATTACTTTTTTAGCAAACATATACTTTATTCTACCGCTGTGCATATCAAATATTTTCATATCTTACAATTCTTTTTATTCACGTTATATCATATATTGCATTACACAATATAAGCTTTAAAAGGTTGTCCTGTGCTGCATACTATCGACATTATTGTACTGTAATACATTATTATACAGTTGGAACCTTAGGTTTCACCTACTATATGCTGATTTCAGGTGCTTCGATAACTTTATATATTGTCAGGTAATCGTGGTAATGGATATACAGTAAAATATACATGTATTCATTAGAACACAGATATTTTGAACTCATGCTTACAACGAATAAATATAATTATCTTTTTATCCCGTATAATGAATAAGTTTTCGGACACAATGAGTTACAGGTATAATGACCCCCCCCCCCCCCCCCCGTATCATGCTTTACGTACTGTAATACCCTAATAAATTGATTCAATAAATAAATATTCACTGGAAATTCAGTTGAAATCCTTTTTATTATTAAGGGTCAAAATTGAACTTTAAATTCATTTATTCTTTCATCACGATTGTTAATATCGATATCAACAAATGATACTTCCTTTTACTTATAAGAAGAAAATTACATGCACCTGATATCACACAAGTGTTTATCACATTCCGGCCGCGGGATACCTGTCAATCAAATGTTAGGGTACACAGCTCAGCGCCATTTTGGATTTTCTACAATATATAATGTAAGTGAGTTCCCCCCTTACACTAATATGATAACTATCATTAAATTTATCATTATTATTGGGAGTTATACATGTCCTGCACTATTTGTGGTTGTGTTTTCTGCTTATGTGTATCAGCCAATGCTGCAGAGAAGGTTGCTTGCTCGTGAGACAGGATTTCACTCGTGCTTCGCACTCGTGAAAATAAAAAAAATCCTGTCCCACTCGTGATATATATTTAATATCCAACTACAAAACATTGAATATCCTCTATATATTAAAGAATCCTGTTATACAATAATAATGTGTAATTATATCAATTTGCTACTGTTATACAATATGCAGTAATACGGTTTGGTAATACAACTTTATATTGTAATAAAAAGTTCTAAACTGTCATTCAATACTCTATTGGAATGCAATTTTGTTGTTAAACAAATAACATGTATAGTTAGCTTCAATATAATGTGACAATAGCCTACAAGATAATATAATAAAGCATTGCTTTAAAATATAGTATAGCGAAATACAACATTGCATCTCTCTATATTTGAGTTACAGACAATCTCATAATATAATATATGTATGCAAGACAAATCATATTGTAATAGCATATTGTAATATGTGCAGTGCAATAAAAATATTTTGCTGTATGGCATTATTACAGTATTACATGTAATTAAAATAAAACATATAATAAAATATCTGGTAAAACGTATTGTTAAAAAAATAACAATAAAAAAAAAATCAAAATCAAAAAGTACAAATAAAAAAGAATATCATGTCAGTTATCGATCTTTGTAGTCGCCCGCGTGGCGCAGTGGTTAGAGCTTCTGCTCTAGAGTCGCGAAGTAAGGAGTTGATCCTTACGTCGCGGGTTCGAATCCCACTGTGGGACGTGGAGACCGGTCCTTCGGATGAGACCTATAAACCGTGGACCCGTGTCGCAGTAGGTGCTGGCACGAAAAAGTCCCCTCACTGCTCAATGGCCGTAAGTGCCGAGTATAGGACAAAATTTGCAGCTCTCCATCGGCAAGTGGTGGCGTCTCCATATGAGTGAAAAATTCTCGAGAGGGACGTTAAACAAAATACAATCAATCAATCAATCGATCTTTCTAGCTTTAATTAAATGAGGGTTCCCGATTTTTTCTTAGTTTATAAATTAACCTCTCTTCAGTTCTTTATGACACACTTTCAAATAAAAGTGTTCTTTTAAAAGTTTACATTTCTTATCAGCAAACCAATTTATAAAACAAGGAAAACTCCATTTCTATTGCTATACAAAAATATAAAAAATAAAATGTAACTTATTAGACATTTGCTATCGTGAAAGACTGTATTAAATTTCCTCACATCTTTTAAACCAAAACATTAATCCACATATTACAATAAAAAAAATCATTGATGCTGACTAAATGTCAGTATTTTTTTTTTATTTTATAGGTGTATAAAATATCCATGAAATAATGTAAAAAAAAAAAAGATATATAAAAAAAGATTTAAATTTTTTATTTGCTAATTAATCCACTTACTTAGAAATAAGTAAAAAGGACATGAAATAAAAAAAAAAATGTGGAACTCAGATTCAAATTTGTGGGACGAATATAAAATACATGTACATTCTTTTTAACATTTCAATATCAGTTAAGGTTGTAAGTTTGTTTGCAAAGGGATACTCATGAAATTCACGAAATTTTTTAACTCACAAAATGATTCAGAAATATATTATAACTTAATCAAATTTCATAAGGTGTTAAATTTTGTAGGAATAACTATTTTAAAATTATATGTAATTATTTAACTACTAAATATATGTATTCTTCTGCGCGGAGAATAATTTTGCAAATTTTTTTCTGACTGCAAAATTCAAAAGTTTAACCTGAAGTTTCACACTCACAGAAATATTTTATTGCTTTTTATCACACGTTAACCCCTTTATCCAGTTTAAATCAGCTGTTGAATAAAATATACCACAATTTGTACTCTAACCCCTCGTAAACTTGGAAAACTGGAAGACCTGATTAGAATTCCTTTTAATTTAAATCAATAAACTTATAAGTTTAAAGATACACATTTAATTCCAATTTCTTTCGCCTAGTTGTACTTAGTGATGCTATAAAGTAGATAATGACAGAGAACAAGAAGGATATAAATTAAACATTTAATAAAAATATTCTGCTTTTTGTATTTGCATAAAATGACATTTTTCCATCTCAATGGGATTTCTTCTCTTGAGCCAATGGGCTTCGGAAAAGGAAACATACATGTACATCATATACTAAGATATGCCACAGAATTTTGTAGTCTTGTTTTCCTAAGATGCTTTTTTAATTTAAAAAATCAAACAAAAGTGCTTCAAGTAAAAAAAAATCTAAATTAAATTCTATATCTCTTTTTAAAATGCAAAAGCACATTTCTTTTTAAGATATGTAAATAAAGCAGATCATGCATATTCATATAAAATAGTTTAGACTTTAACAAAATGTCATGCAATTACATAGATCTAGAGTGCGATACCTAGTTCTAAAATGCATGTTTTCAATATTCATCAGGGTAGATATACAAGACAATAAGCATTCAAAAATATTTTTTTCTAATTATTATATAAGCTGTATAGTGCTTTGATAAAAAACACATTTTGGCATGTGACAAACTCATTTCTCAAATATGAACTAAATCCGTAAGAATTGTGTTAATTCATTTTTTAAGATATTGCAGTAAGAAGTGACAAATCGAACTTAATTTTCAACATCACAATTTACTTTGAAATGTTGTGATTTTTTTTTAATATAAAAATATATGCATTACCTTAAAAAATCTAGATTTATATAATAATCATCTATATATTTTTTGTAAAATATTAGTCTTGCACATTCTATGTCTATAACTATTGTGAAACATTTGGAATACAAAGTAGTTATACTACCAAAAAAATGCATATATTTTACAAAATACTAAAAGAACAAGGTACGGTTTCAATACAAATCTTGCCCTGTGTTTTTCTTAAAAATAAAAGTGATGTAAAAAATTAAAACTCATGCTTTTTGAATTATTGAAATTCCATGCAGAAAGATCATACAATTCTTTTTTCTCACATGACCTTCCAAATGCTAATTGTGACGTCATAAACTTGTGCATTTTCCCGTATTTTCTTAAAAAGTTGCAGAAGACATCAATTTTTAATGGAATTTTCTTTCAGATAATATTGTCCACAGGCATCGCCCACAAAGATTTTGAGATATGTGATTTTTCAAAGAATTTTACACAACATATCTAAAAATTAACGTGGGCGACGGCTGTGGACACTATTTTCTTAAGGAAAATAACCCTTGAAATGGGTCATTTTGAGGCTTTTTCTGTTTAAAATAGAGAAATGCATCAAATTAATGACGTCATATATCAAGAATGGTACTCCATCATGCTATATTCTTTCCTGATTTATTACAGTCATATACTCAACTAATATTTAAGCCAGTTTCAAAACTTTTTGAAAACATTAAATTTTTAGGGCACAATAACGCTAAAACCATACCTTCTTCTTTACTCATTTTGATATGACGCGGTTGATGTCGCATTTTTAAACTGAACTCAATAAAAACACCAATGAATTTTGGAAGCTTTGTGACGTCATATCCTCCCGCCATACTTCACTTTCCTTTAGAGGGTGGTTTCTTAGACTTCGCGCGACAAAGAAACCTGGAGGCATGTGAAGTTTGACATAATTTCTTTGATTTCTGGTGAGTGGCCGTCTGTCGGACTTTAAGAATGGCCGTGCGGCAGATTACACACCTTAACGGAAGACAGCGCTGCGAAAGCGCCACCTGGATAGTCTTGATAAAACACTTCCTGCAGACGATCTTGTGGCCGCACGGGAAGGTTTGCATAGTAGCCTTTGCAGTGAGACAGACAACACACTGAAATATAATGAATAAAACGTATTGGAGTATAAGTAGAGCTTATCTCATGGAAAAAAAAAATCATTGTTTATTTTTAAATTATTGTCTTTTATGTAAATGAGCAAAAGGTTTAGACCTTTGTCTAGCATTAATGTAGCAGATAGTTTAATCCTTTGTAAAAATCTTTGATTGTTAATAGTTTTAAAACATTCAAGTGAATGCTGTTAAAGGCATACTATTCATTTACTTTAAACGTTTTTGTCCATTCTATTTCAGCTTATTCAGCATTAGGCTTACTATTATAAATAATTGCTACATACATTGTAAATTGTACTAGTTAGTTGCCATTTTTTTTCTCCAGTTCGAACTTGTTTTCAATTGTCGATAGACATGAGGCTTGTCGAGTGTCTATTTACAATTATTAGGTTTTGGAATGATAATTTGGAGAAAACCGGTGTCTATTAATAACAACCTCAATTCATGAAACCCTTTTCTCCCTTTATAAACACTAATCAAACATTTCAAACTGTATATTGTTACTGCAAGAATGACTCATAAACCAATAATACATAGCACAACGTGACGTCATAATGTACGTAGCAAGTAATTACCATTATGATATCATGACAGCCAATCAAGTGCTCACTAGGGGTTCTCTAACATGACAGAGAACAAATATCAGTGTGCGGGAGTGGAGAAACATATACCGATTATGGGAAAAGGCTAATTCAAAACTGTTTAGAAAATACACAGAAATGACCCCGAGCGAAATTGAGGTTATTTCCGGTTTGATATACCGACCTCTTCTTCTTCGGCTTGTATGCCATCTATTTCACTGTCGTCCAGCTTCGCTAACAGCTTGTCCTAAAAGAAAAAAATGTCCAGTAAAGCAGGTTTTCAACAAAGGCAATTCTTTCTCCACATCCTTCAATAAATAGTCGATCAGACAATGATCTTGAGATCAACAAATACATATATAAACTAATTGTTTTTCTTCTTTAATGGCTTGATCAGCTATTTACAAATTGCAGAATGGTCATATTGCTCAGTACAATCTAATTAGATCTTTGATCCACTAGATCGCTACTTTGTGCACATAACTACTTGGAGCGGATCAAAGATCTAATTTTAGTTAGATTGTTGCTCTGGATGTAGATAACTCTTGCCAAAATAAATAAATTTTATAATAGATCTAATACAAATCGATCACTCTCTTCAGGGGAAATCAGTTTACCTGTAAATGTACTCTTCTTTATTACAACATCTAGATAAAGTCCATGATACGTTAAAGAATGAAAACAAAGAGGAACTGTTTTCAGTGGTATTTGAGAAACAATTGTTATCAATAAAATAAAACTCACCCAAGTTCTATATTACTTCAACAAGTTTTATATATAGAGGATATTCAATGTTTTGTAGATGAATATGGAATTTATTTCACGAGTGGGACAGGATTTTTTGATATTTTCACGAGTGCGAAGCACGAGTGAAAATATCAAAAAATCCTGTCTCACGAGTGAAATAAATTCCATATTCATCTACAAAACATTGAATTTTCTGTTTATTACATTTTCTTTGATTTTCCCTTTGCCTCTGTCTTTTCATAACACAGTGTCATAGGCCTGACGTCATAGTTGAGCGGTTGAGACGTCATAGCTTAGAAGTTGTGTGTCAGATTGAAAACAGAATGAATTACAAAGCATGGATTTTAGCAACATATTTAGAAAGAAATTTGCAGTTTTAGCTTTATCAAGATGCTTAGTTACTATCTCTATCTTATGACAGGCCAGAAATTATTTTTTACTTACTTTGATATCCTTTCACACTGTGAGAGAATATCATTTTTGGTATCCTTTCACACTGTGAGAGAATATCACTTTTATTCAATGAATAAATCACAGTATTTCACTGTTGAAAATGTAATAAATATACATACATGTATGTGTTATAATGTTTGGATATGAACAAAGTTGTAAATTTATTTACAAAGACAAAATTTCTAAAAACTTATGGTAATACATATATACATGGTATACATAACGTTGTTAGTTCATATATTGTTCATACCTTACACATATTTTACACACCATTTTCTGTAATACAGAATCGGTGAATAAATGCACAAATATGTATATTGTACATGTACATTTACCACTGATACACTGTATCAATTTATCCTGTATCCGTTTATCATAAATGTTGTTTTCCTTATTGCAAAGATAAGCTTTTAAATGTTCGTATATCAACTCATTGTCCCCGCCATTGACGAAGCATCTGTGCGAAAGTGTATTCCTTAATATTAACATGTTTATGCTTCCAATCATTTTCTCCTCAGATTCTTTACAAAGAGGAATGCATTTCATTTCCTCAAGAACTGGTATGCATGAATATCTCCATGAAGTCAAAAATATAATTTGTTTTTTTTTTCCTTTCACAAATTATGGTTAAAAGACATAATTTGATAATTTGAAGTCAAAATTTAATTTTTGAAAATTCATGAGACAAAAAGGCATCGTTCACGCAAATTTTTCAAGAGGCGCTACATGTAACATGCTTGACGAAATATGCCAAATGGAATTAGTTTGAATTCTTAAATAATTTTAATGCATAAAATGTCGTCCTTAGTTGAGAATGGGAAGAGGAAAATTACCTTCACTTCGAGTCGGCTGTACTTATTGACTCCACGCATTACATGTAAAAACATTGATTTGATTTTAACATATTTTATTGTAATAAGTATATATATATATATATAAATGGGATTGGGCACAAGTTCTTAAAACTTAATTCACCCTCTCCCTAAATGAAATGTCTACGAAATTGAAATTAAAGCATTATAGTTTAAACATTAAAAAATCAGTAGAGCATAGTATAACACAAAAATTATATTAACTTTTAAAAATGCACATTACAAAATTAATATACATGTAATGACACTTGCTAAGAGGTTTGTAGTGTATACAACGATCTACTCTTCCATTACAACCCACAAACGTCTTCTAGATGCCCTTTGGCAAAGGAAATAATTCAGCTCCCGCTCAGACATGTTAATATATCCCTTTATGAAATTATCGCCCGGAATGCTAGTAAAGCAAGAAATTAAAACTCAACAGAAAGAAAAGTAATGGCGTGTCTGGTCAAATATAAACAATATTCCATGTTACACAGCAGCTATAAATTCATGTTATTTGATGATAATATTCCGTCTGGACACTTAGATGCAATGTTCTCAATGGTTTACCGACTGCAAGTGTATATAACGTGTTACCCATATTTAAAGCTAAATGGCGACGAGAGAGCATTTTCAAATTGTTAATTATGGATATGCTTTGCAATGAGTGACGTTTTATTAGTGTCTTAACACTTTTTTCATTTAACGTAGACGTGTATCTTGTTATGGGGTATAACGTAGACCTTGAATGTGCATATGTATCTTTTTATGAGGTCGTTTGTTCAATTTAATTATGTTGATCCAACAATTGATCAACCCAATAATCTTAACCTTTGAGTAAAGAAGTAACAACATAATGAAATTTAATTCCACTAAAGGTTTATAAAGTAATGGCAAAATGACAACAACAAAAAATGTGGCATAGATACTTAGACGGACAGCAATATAGACAGCCAGGGAAGCAGGGCAAAAATACCTTGTCGCAAGCCATTTCCTGAAAATGCTGATCACAAAAGAGAAATGCAATCCCAGTGAGAGACTTTTAAGGTGAATTAGAATGTAAATGTATTATTTTTTTAAAACAACCTGGAAAATATTCTCTTAAGGACTAATGACCCTCTGCTCCAAATTTCACGACTAATTTTTAAACTTCCCAGCATTGATTTTGATCAAGAGCTATAGCATCAAAATCAAATAAAAATTAGTATGAGGTATGGAGCGCTGCTTATTTTTTCAGAAATGATTTTTATTTCAGATCATAATATGAAGAAATTTTAACACAGAGATTAGGAAGAGTAATAATTTATTATCACAACATAAAATTAGAAATATGCGGTGTATATGAAAATAATATTTAGTGTCATACCTACTAAATTCATATTAGAAATCATAATGAAGCGCTGCTTCCTAAGTCAGAATATCACAATGTTATATGTGGTTGTAAGAAAACAATACATATGTTAGCAAGAGTTATCTTTCTTATAAATATTTTTTCATTGGAAAAAAATGTAATACTAATAAAAATTCTACATTTGGCGCTTGATACATTAAACCATTTTTAAAATGATCGTTAAAAAGATAGAACTTATTCAATTTTTAAGGGTTTTAAATCTGGATTTGAATGTTTTTTTGTCAAACATAATAAAACAATTTGAAAAGTACAGTCAAAGGAAATATAAGACAATGTTTCCATCGTATTCTAAGTTTGATCGAATTGACTGCTCCCAGGTCTTGATAATTAAACTCTGATAAAGTAAACTATGAGTAATACTAGGATATTTTACTTGGAAAGTTATCTCTCTTATCAGAGGGTCGGTCCCCATTAAAGTACTGAAGACAAGAGTTGATGTTTGACAGACGGGTCCTAGCACTGTATCGCAGCCGCCGGACGCAGGCGTCAGGAGAATCGAACTTATCGGAGAGGAATACAGGCGTCAGTAAAAATGTATCGCAGCCGGTTAAAGAGCTCAGTACAACTGTATGGCATCTGGATAAAGGGGTTAGTAGAAGTGTATTGCAGCCAAATAAGGCGTCAGGTGATTGTATCGCAGCCTGATAGAGGGGTCAGTTGGACTGTATTGCAGCCGGATACAGGGGTCAGGAGTACATGTATATATTTTATCGCAGTCGGATACAGGGGTCAGGAGTAATTATCGCAGCCGGACACAGGGGCAGGAGTACTGTATCGCAGTTGGATACAGGGGTCAGAAGTATTGTATCTCAGCCGGATACAGGGGTCAGGTGTACTTTATCGAAGCCGGATACTGTGAATGCTAACATTTTAACGGGATTCAATTCTAAGCCGATTGCGTTCTCTTTGTTGCATAAATCTATTATCACTGCCAAATACAATCCAGAGATAAAAAAGAACGAGGGCGCTTTTGATTGGCATTCGGCAGGAATCTTGGCGCACTTGAAAAGTGAAAATTTCATTGATATGTCACATGAAATTTTGGCATTCTTTTCATGTATCGGGTTCCTGTGAAATAGGAAAAGGAAATATTTTCCCGATATTGTATTTTGATTTGCTAAAAGAGAACTTGAAAATTGGCTAGATGAGTCATTTGGTACAAAATGTTACATTTTAAAACACGTTTTGTGTGCATTTTAATTCAAAGAAACTAACACACATTTGTAAAAAATGGAGAGAAGACCCAGAGACAATAAAAATGAACTTTTCCCAAAAAAATTCCAATGTGTAAATGCGGTGCTTCATTGTCGCTTTAAAAACCATAAAGTGTCTGTAGCGGTGATAGCTCAGTAGTATATATGCGTTTCCCGTCCAGTGCAATGAAAAAGAGATATTTTTGGTTCGATCCTCGCATGGAGCGTTAATATTTTTTTAGTACAAACAATCAATTCTTTTGTCAGTTTAATTTTATGTACTTATTTATTTCCAAATAGATAAATTCTGGTTCTGTTGCACCGAAAGCGAAAGCAATTCTTCCAACCTACTGACACTTTAATATATACATGTACTTGTAATTGAATTTAACTATACCCTATATGTGTTTATTATTTATTGAAGCGTTACTAATGCCCTGTTCACACGGAGAGTTTAATTCGCAGTAAATTAATGCGAATTAAAATAATGCGAATTAAATTGCGTTCACACGACAGCTAATGCGAAGTAAACTAATGCGAATTCAAATTTCTTTTCTACAGTAAGGCTATTCAGTAAGGGTATTATGAC